GCAACAGCCAGAGAGAGGTGGAACAAAATCTCTGCTAAGATTTAGGGATAAATAAGGGGAAATTAGGTGGGCGTTTGGACGTAAGAACTATAAAATTTCGGAAAAAAGTAAAAAAAAATTTAAGTAAAAAGGATATTTGAGAATTAGAATTGTGTTTTTTGAATTTTTATGAGTGATCTGAGTGAAAATTGTGAAAAATAACTTTTTGGATTTTTAAAAAATTAAAATTCATCTTCAGGTGAAAATTGAAAATTGTATGACCAAATTAATGATTTCAAAAAAAAATGAATTTTTCGGGAAAAAAATAAAAGAAAAATCATGGCCAAACGGGCTCTAAGTAGGGAGGGGTTTCTACTTACTAGCGACTGAAGACTAGACTGTAGAGATGAGCAAATGGCAGATACATTATTATAATCTGTTTATCAGAAAACATATTCATTGTACAAAAGGATTATGTAATACACTTTTCGTTATTTTTGAAATAATAAAGGCGAAAGATCACCTTTTAGAACGCAGTCAAAATTATTTACATTTGACAATCGCAAAAATATATAAAATTTATATAATTTTATTTACGTAATATACCAAAATATGTATATAAACAAAAAAATATAAATATTTTTCAATTGTTATTTTAAGAGCGACTATACAATACCATTTTCTTAATAATAAATGATGGAGTACTGTGTTTCTGTTCGTCAAGCTCAATGAATTTCATTTAAAATAACTATGATATAATTTTCTTGAGATTATTTGAGTTATTTCTTTAATTTTGAATTGTTAAAATGATGAATTATTCGCAAGCAACATAGAAAAGCTACGGGTTTCTACATGATTTATACTTTAACTAGTTTCAAAAATTCCAAAAGAGTAAAGTTTTATGTCACCCAACCCCCCATAGCATCTCGAAAAAACAGTAAGAAGAAATTGTAAGGATCTGTTTGGTATAACGGAAAATATTCTCTGTGGAAAATATTTGTCAAGATAATATTTTTTGGAAATGAACCTGAAGTGAGCTTTCAATTAACCCACTGTTTGAAAATCGATACACTTCGAAGGCAGCGAGAGAAGCTTAAAAAAAAAATATCAGCGAACAGATTCCAGCAACACTAACAGAAACAGCGACTCCGAATCTCGACGGTGACTAGTGAATAGCCACGAATCCGAATCCACCTTCACTCATTTGAATTCCATCATTTCGGAACTTAAATCAGAAATTAAAAAAATCGAAAATGAAGAAACATGTTCTCTTTATACACTGCTCGGGAATTTTAAAAAGAAGTAAGACAAAGGAGAATTGAAGAACTATTTTTGTTTTTCTAGATTTTAAACTAAAAAAAAAAATCAACAGAGAACTACCCTTATTTCTAAACCCTAGCTCTCGCTGCCTCCTCCCAAAGACTATCTCCAAAAAAATCCCTAAATTTTTTCTCTCCAAGACTGTCCCCCGAAATCTCTGAAAAACCAACTATATATACTCACCTCTCGAAACTTCTACACTTCCTCCCCAAGAAATCTCTGAATTTTCATAAAAATCCCGAATCTGACTTTTACCCTTTTTCTGATGAAAAAATCGGACAAATGGAGGGAGTAGATCGAATTTAACTCGATCCTATGCACCCCATTTTTCCTAATTTCGATCTAAAGGGATAAAAATCCGAAAAGCAAATGAAAAAGCACGTGAGGAGGAGGGAATCTGTTAGAAGTTCGTTAGCCTACGTGGCAAAGGGAGAGAGGAGGGACCATGTGCGCGAGTTCGGGTGAACTCGCCTGAGTTTTGGGCGAGTTTTGGTGGAGTTGAGGCGGTTTGGGCGCGGCAGAAGTAAGGAGATGGAGTGATGCGGCCGTTTGGTTTTAGGGGTGTTAGGGTTAGAGTTTTTTAAGTGAAAGGTTGTCAAGTTTATATGTGGGGTAAGGGAATTAATAAGGGCGGTTGGATTAGATGGGATAAAGGGTGTAGATTAAAAGGGAAATTGGGGCGGTTTAGTGGGTAGATCCGGCGGGTTAAAGGGGGGAAAAGGAATGTGCTGAGCGGATTTGGGTAATTTTGGGGCAATTGGGCCACTGAAAATTGTTGTGGACCAATCCGGAATTAAGCAAGTTTTCTTTTTTTCTTTCTTGATTTTTATCTCAATAAATTTAATAAAAAATCCTAAATTAAGTACTACATCAAATCTAATTTGTAAAATTAAATTAATTATCTATTTCTAACATAGAAATAATTAATTAACTTAAGATTAATGAAAGAAAATTACTAATTTGCAACCTAAAGCTAAAAATGTAAAAATGACCAATATTTTTTATTTTTGTTAAATAAAGCAATCAACTTATGTAATTAAATCCTAAATGCAATTATGACCTAAAATGTTTTGCATGAAATATTTTAGACATTTTCTGGTAATTTTCTCATGATTTAATATTAAATACGCAACTAAATGCAAGCAACAATTAACAAGAAATTTCTAAAAATTTTGTAAAAATTAAAATAATTAGAAAAACTTATTTGAATTTGTAGGAGTATTTTTCGCCGGGCAAAAATTACATGCTCACTAATATGTCTTCTTGTTTTTAGTTAAAATAGGTTTCGTACTATTATAAATAAGAGTATTGCTAATATATTTTAAGTGTGAAGAATAGTGGATGAGAAATAAAGAATTGTAAAGATCATTCAAAAATTTTCTTCAGATTTAGTGTTCATGTAATCATATAATTTGTGCTATATATCAATCTAGATACTAGATTGGCATTTTTATTAAATTGTAAAAGCTAGAGGGTCCAACTTTTGTGAGCTTTCAATAAGTCCCAAAAAGAAAAAGTAAGAGTATTGTACAAAAAAAAAAGATTAAGAAAGAAAGCAATTGTACTGAATATGATGGCATCAACATGTGTACTACGTGCATAAGTTGTTTACATTCCTAGGATATATACATAAGAGGCGAATCCAGGATTTGAAAGTGGCGGGGCACCCTTATTAAATAAAAATTTGAGCAAATACTTGAGTCGGAGTCGAACCAAAGCAAAGCACTAAAAAGTCAAGTTGTGGCACCTTAAATTGACTAGTGTAGTTGCTTAAGTTTTGAATCTTAGAGTGTCAATAAAAATAAATAAATATATCTTTTTTCAAATTTATCGGGGCCCGGTGATCCTCTACGCAAAGGGTAGGTCCGCCTCTGCCCACAACCACTCATGTGATATACCTTCTTACGTACGTATCACAGATTCACAATACACAATCTGTTATAAATCACTTTTTTGTTTCGTATTTAAAAATTAAGTATTAATCAACAAGGATAACAGTACAAAGCGTAGCATAGCATCTCCCAGCTAGCTATTCTCTACAAGGAATACCCAAGAAGCTAATACTATCTGGTCCTCATGTCCCTTATACAAGCAGTATCCAAAGAAACACAAAAAATACTATGACTACTTTTTTTTTGAGAAACATAGGTTATGTATCAAATCCTTTACTTTCCTATCTGCCCTGAAATAGCATATGCACACAATCTCCCTTGCCAAGGCTTCATGTTCTCTACTTGCACCTTCAAATATTTGACTATTTCTTTCTCTCCATAGCACACGTATATATTCACCGTACACCATTTTAAGGAGCATTGCTGAATCTATCTTCCCCTTTGAGTGCTGAATGATAAACTAGAAATACTGTACCCAAGTGTTGGGAACAATGGTGTGGAATTGAGCCCATTGAGATAGCCTGGTCCATAATCTGTTAGCATATTCACATTCTACAAATAAGTATTCCCTTGTTTCATTATCGAACTGGCACAATACACATGTCTCATCCATATGGAGACCCCATCCCTTCAGCCTATCTTTTGTTAGCAGCCTTCCATGGTTCTGTAGCCACATGATAAATATGGCTTTAGGTCTAGCATTGTTCTGGAACATTAAGCCTCTTCAATCCATCTTAGGGTGCATTGCTATTAGTTGTAAGTATATGTGCTTGATCATACTTTTTTGTTCATCAAGTGGTCTGTGAAGTTGGTTGATGATTTGTTTAGATTCAAGGATCTTCCTTCTCATCCAGCTTTCACTATGAGAATGCTCATATCATCAAGCCTTTGCCCTTTAACATAATAATCATGGATCCACCTGATCCACATCTTATCTTGCTTATGAGTTAGGTCCCAGTAGGAACTTGGCAATTGCAGCATTATTCCACACCTGCAGATTAGTAAGGTTGAGTCCCCCTACAGATTTAGGGAGGTATACCTTTTCCCAAACAAGCAGTGATTTTTTGGTAATCACATTTCCACCAGACCATAGGTAGCTTCTACAGTAATCTTCAATCAATTTGACAACCTTAACTGGTAGTGTAAGCAACTGAGCCCAATAAGATTGTATTCCAAACAACACTGTTTGCACCAACTGAGCTCGGCCAACATTGGATAATTTCTTTGTTGTCCAGGATGTTATTTTTGCTACCATTTTGATAATGAGGGGCTGTCACTGAAGAATAGAGAGCTTTTTAGCGTCTAGTGGAACCCCTAAGTATTTAAAAGGTAATTGCCCCTGAAAGTAACCAAGAGCTTGAATGATAGTTATCTTTTGTATAGGATCCATACCCCCACAATAGATTGCACTCTTTGACAAATTAGCCTTTAGTCCTGAGGCAGATGAGAATGTCCTAAAATAATTATGGAGCCTCTACACTGATTCTAGCTCACCCCTGGCGAATAGTAATAAGTCATCCGCAAAGCATAAGTGAGTGATGCCCAGTTTGCTACATTGAGGGTGGTACTTGAACTGTTTATCCTGTTTCAGTTCATTGAGTAGTTGACTCAAATACTCCATAGCAATAGCAAATAAGAACGATGACATTGGATATCCTTGCCTCAATCCCTTAGTTGTATTAAAAGGCTCTACTGATTCTCCATTTAACAGAATGGAGTAATTAACTGTTCTCACACAAGCCATTATCTATTTTATAAATTTCTCGGGGAAAGACAGTCCCTCAAGAACCTGCTCTAAGTATATCCATTCTACAGAGTCATAAGCCTTCTTAAGTCCACCTTTATCATGCATCTAGGAGAAATGTGCTTCCTGTTGTATGACTTAACAAGCTTATGAGCTAATATTATGTTGTCTGTTATTCTTCTCACCGGGATGAAGCCTGCTTGTGAGTCCGAGATGATATGACTCATAACTTTTTGCATTCTTCGAGTTATGACTTTGGAAATCAGCTTATACAATACTGTGCAACATGATATGAGTCGATAATACTGTATCTGGTTGGCAACTTTTGGCAGTAAGGTGAGTGTGGTGCAATTTATGGCCCTGTCTATGATCCCTGTATCAAAGAATTCCTTCACTGCTTCACAGACATCTTTCTTGATAATGGGCAATGATCTCTTAAAAAATAAAGCATTAAACCCATCTATCCTTGGGGCTTTACAGTCCCCAATTGCATTCAACCGATCATAGATTTCTGACTCTGTAACATTGGCACACAATTCTGTCTGTTGTGCATGTGATAAACAAGGACCATTCCTCATATCCAATCTATTGACAGCTGGTAAGCTAGGTGTTGCTGTCCCATCAAGGATTCATAAGAGTCAACAAGTTCAGCTTTGATTGCTCTTGGGTCTTGTAGTTTACCACCTGTTAAAGAGTTAATCTCAAGAATCTGCTTCTGAGTTTGCTTTTCCTTCATTATGGCGGTGAAATATTTGTTGTTTGAGTCACCCAGCCTAATCCAAGTAGCCCTGGACATTTTCTGCAATGCATTTTCCTCTATTAATGACCATTTCTCCAATTGATGTAGGCATTCTTTCTTCTGATCAGCTAGGGTATCAGAATAGTGGGTCTGCATTGCTTCTTGAATCTCTTTCAGAGTTTTTCTGACTTGTGTAATTTTTCCTATCACCCCTTTAAACTCAACCGGGTTTAGTTGCTTAAAGGATGGTTTTTATTGTTTCAGTTTAACCCACACATTCCTCATCTTTCCAGTTGTAATAGTTCTGGACCATCTTTATGCTGCAATCTGATTAAAGTGTTCATGATCTACCTAGATGTTAAAGAACCTAAAGAGAAATTTAATGTTTCTCCTTGGCTCTCTCAAAGGTATAAGCATAGGATTATGGTCTGATATGAATGGTGCTATATATGTTACAGTCAAGTGCCCATATTATATTATCCAATCATCATTTTCAATTGCCCTGTCAAGTCTACTCCATACTGTGCATCCCCATTTTGGTTGTTGGTCCACGTATAGTAATCTCCCTTCCAAGGTATTTCATTTAGTAACAGGCTATTGTAGCATTCTGTGAAGTCTTTAATTTCAGCTAAAGTCATAGGATTGCCTTGTCTATCTTGAGCAGTTAGGACAACATTGAAATCTCCACATAAAAGCCAAGACATCTTGATCATGGGGGCCATCTGTTCAAGTTGATTTCAAAAAGCTTTCCTTTGATCTACTGTGTTGAACCCATATACCACTACGAGCATACAGACCATACCATTCAACTTACTAGCCACTTGATAATGAAGTAACTGGGCTGCATTTGCTATGAGTTGTACTTCATAGCTTTTAGCATCCCATAGAACCCATATTCTCCCATTGATTGCTTTTGTGTAGTTAGTTAACCTATCCCAGTTAGGAGACACCTTGCTAGCTATAGATTATGCTTTATTTTCTTTGACTCTAGTTTCTAATAAACCAGCTGATCTAATTTGATTATCTCTGAGATACTACTTAAGATTCTGCTTGTATCTCTTATTGATTCCCCTGATATTCTAGAACAACCAAGTCATTGATATAGTATGAGTTCACCTCCTATATCAGGGGGCCTAGTGTTCTCATCTCTTATTCCCTCTGCAGGCAAATATTGGAAGCCATTCTTTGTCCCTATCACCTCTGCATTAGTTGCATGATGCTTTCTGTCTTGCCCATATGTTCTCTCTAGTTGTCTACTTCATTGGTGTTCAGGCAATTTCTGACATGAAGTGGATCCTTTTGCTCGCACCTGAGTCCAGCCTGCTTTAGTGGTCTCATTAGTTGGAGTCCCAAGTTTCTGTTTACCCCTTTCATTAGCTTCACTCTTATACAAAGCTTGTTGTTGGTTTTGCATTTTCTCCGTTGGTTGCTACTTGTCTTTTGGTTTCCATGCTTGAACTAGCTTAGGTCTGGCTCTTTGTAGTGGGCCAATTCTCACTTCCTTCTTTTGCTTGCTATAGTCATGGCTAATCTGCAAGCACTCAGCACAGAATGCTGGCCTCCATTCAAATTCAATGGGTTGCTGAATTGTCTAGCAAAGGAAACCTTAACTGTTACTTCAGTAGGCAGTTTCTTTGTGACATTCACTTTAATAAGAATTCTAGAATAAGACACCCTGGTTTGTTTTACAATGCATTAGTTTGCAAATAATGGATTACCAATGGTTCTAGCCATCCTGTCAAGAATTCATCATTGAAATCAAAATTCGGGGTCCATTGTTTAAGAATGATTGGCTTGCTATTGATGGTACAAGGGCCTTCATACAATACTTCCTACAAATCAGCTAGGCTCTAAAATTTAACGATATAACATCCCTCTTCATGAAGAAACAATTCTGGTTCAACCACATTGTTCTAAAATTGTGAGATGTATTTGCTCATATGATTATACCCCAGGCATTTCCCCAATTATATAAACAATAAGAACTTTCTTCCACTTCTTAGTTTCACACTCAATTTCAATTTTATCTAAATTGACGACAAACTGGTCATTCATAATTTCAGGTGCGATGTAAGTTAGGTGCAAACCATTCTCAACAGAGCGATTTCCAGCAAAAAGAGTTGTCCACGGCGCAAGGGGTTTTGTCGGACCCTTTGGATTTGCCTGTTGTTCTCCTTCCTCAGCCCTAATTGCTGGTGTAACACTTGATTCTCTTATCTCCTCATGTGAAATTTCTCGAGCAGTAGGATTTGAGGCTATAATTGGTTGATTTAGTGTTGTATTTGGTGTTGTAATTGGGCTCAATATCAGTTTATTATGCACATCTGGGTTATTGCTTTTCACCCCCAAATCGATTGACCTAGCTGGGAACGGGCTACCAATCGGAGTTACCACTTTCGATGGTATCAGCAATCACACTTGCGCTAACAGAGCTTCCTACGGTCACGAGTGGTTATTTTACTGTTCGTCCTCTCTTCCTAGCCATGGCGATTCACAGGCGGCGCACGATAGCATACCATGCGCCGGGAGCACAGAGCTAAAGAGAGTATTGAAATGTGTCTATTATAAATCACATTGTTACTTCTTAATTTTATATTTTATGTAACATCACTTTTTTAAACTCTTGGAAAAATTTTATATTTACAAATTATATTTTTTTGTTTTATTCTTAATGGTGTGATTTTATTTGTACTACATTTGATATGAAAATTACGAAAACTAAAGAGAGAAGAATTAAAAGTGACACATGAAAATCGTAAACCATCTCTTTAATAAGATAATTTTGATGATTTTTATATTATATTTAGAACTCGTAATTAACCCATTTTAAATAAAAGTGCCACATATTTTTTTGTCTTTTTCACCTTTTTTTAATTTTCTTTCTACACTTTTTTTCACCTTCATCTCTTCCAAGCCGTCCCTCCTCCATCTCCAGTAAATAGTAATTTATTAGCCTCTGCATTTGTTAACTCGCATAGTAGAAATGATCATCTAGTTGTCTATTGATAAAATCTACACTAATTGTTAGAGAAATCACACATGCAAGCAGTAATGTAGAAGGAGAAATAGAGAGGAAATGAAGAGATACAGAGATGAGATGAAGAAGAAGAAGAAGATCAAAATCTGCTTATTACAATTGAGTGGTCCCCTTTATACATCACTAATCGACTCTAACTAATTAACAATTTATTTATACTTTAGTCCTCTAAGTAATTACTTAGTATACTTTTAACTCTTATAACAATACTCCCCTTCAAGCTGGGGGTTGAAACACATTCAGCACCCCAAGCTTGGACAGAAGAAAGTGATGCTGAGAAGTACCCAATCCTTTGGTCATGAGGTCAGCTACCTGCAAGTTGGTAGAGATATATTGTGGTGCCAACTTCCCATTCTTGATTTTTTCTCTTACAAAGTGACAATCGATCTCGATATGTTTAGTATGTTCGTGGAATATAGGATTAGAAGCTATTTGCAGGGTTGCTTTGCTATCACAATGCAGAGACACTGGCTGCTGAATCTGGACCTGTAGTTCCTTAAGCAATCCTAGGAACCATGTGATTTCTGCAGCCGCTGCTGCTAAACTCCTGTACTCTGCTTCTGCTGATCTTCGACTGACAGTCTGTTGCTTCTTTGACTTCCATGAGAGTAAAGAATCCCCCAATTTGATGACATACCCTGTGACAGATCTCCTGGTATTAGGACAAGAGGCCTAGTCTGAATCACAATAGGCAGACAATGTATCAATAGATCCTGCCCCAAGCAGAATACCGAGGCCTGGTGCTGCCTTTATGTATCTCACCACTCGCAATGCTGCATCCCAATGAGATTGCTTTGGCTGCTACATAAACTGACTGAGTACCTGTACTGCAAAACTCAGGTCTGGTCTAGTGATGGTCAAGTAAAGCAATTTACCAATAAGTTTTTGATAGCTCCCTATGTCCTCAAGTTCTTCATCACCATTTACCCCTACATGCTTGTCATATTCAATAGCGATCAACTTCTGATTGAGCTCTATTGGGGTGGAGATGGATTTAGCTCCTGCAAGCCCAACTTCTGATATCAACTGAAGTGCATCCTTTCTTTGTGTAAGTGTGATCCCCCTCTTTGATCTCAAAACCTCAATGCTAAGGAAGTATCTTAGCTCCCCTAGATCCTTAACTTTAAAGGAATTTTGTAATTTCTGTTTGGCTTCTTTTATCAGCTCTGCACTGCTCCTAGTGATAAGCAAGTCATCCACATACACTAAGATAACAACAATGTCTGATGTTGTATCCTTAGTGAAGAGTGAATGATCAGAAGCACTCTGATGATATCCTGCCTTCACCAAAGCCTCAGTCAACTTGATATTCCATTGTTTTGAAGCCTACTTAAGACCATATAGTGATTTAAGTAGTGCAGACCTTATACTCCCCTTGTCTCTGGAAACCCTGTTACAGTTCCATGTAGACATCTTCATAGAGATCTCCTTGCAAGAAAGCATTATTTACATCCATTTGAAATAGATCCCATCCTCTAGAGGCTGCTATGCTAATGACTGTTCTAATAGTAACCATTTTGGCTACAGGAGAAAAAGTCTCATGATAGTCCAACCCTTATTACTGTGTATAACCTTTTGCTACTAACCGAGTCTTGTATCTTTCTATTTCCCCATTGGCTTTATATTTTATCTTAAACACCCACTTGGATCCTATAGCCTTTTTTCCTGAAGGTAGGTCAACAATACTCCATGTTGCATTGTCTTCAAGAGCTTTAATCCCTTGCGACATAGCTACTACCCAGTTTTGATCCTGAAAAGCTTCCTTAAAGCTCTTTGGTTCAACTGCTGCAGAGAATACTCCCAAGTAAGCTTGGTAATGTGCTGACAAATGAGAGTAGGATACACTGTTTGAAATACAATGAGGATGATTTTGAGTGTTTGAGCCTGTAACATAATCTTTCAGCCATATGGAGGGCCTTGTAGTTCTGCTAGATTTTCTGACTCCAACTGTTTCAGTAACTACCTTTTCTGTGAGTGATTGACTTGTGGTTGGATATGTGATTGGCTGCACTTCAACTTGCTCTATGGGGTCAATAGTGTCAACTAGGTCCACTGTATCTTCAATTGAGTCCAGTGTCTGAGTGTCTGTTGTAGCTGTTGATTCCATGGCTGGTGATTG